TCAAGTTGAATCACGAATCAGCTTCCAAGACCAAGCTGACGACTAAGAAGCTTTTCGAGATCTTGTCTGCCAACTTGACGGTGACATCGGGGGAGGGCAGTGACGCAGTCCTTCCTCGAAGTCTTGATGGCTCTGTGGAATTCCTTGCTGAGCGACACTTCTTTCCGAGAGGAAGTCCTGCTTTCTGAGGAGCTCTTCGGAAAGCGAAGTCCCATCAAGTCCATATATGTTTTGCGAGACCTTGCCACTGCTTGCAAGAAGCAACTGCCTTGCGTGAAGTGGGTGTTCGATGCCCTCATGGATGCGGCGTTGAACAAAATCTTCAAGCAAGGCGAGCTCAACCCCCAGGCGTTGGCCGGCAAGAACCCCCGTGGGAATAATTCCAAAGGGCCTGACTCCTAGCACTGCTGCTTTTTTCTGAGGTTTTGCCTTGATTGATGGGGGCGCACTGCTTCTGAGGCTGTTGCATATGTGGGCATGGAAGTATGTCCTGAAAGATGAGATCCTGGACATGCTGTTGGCTCACAAGAGCCTGCCAGGTGAGGACGCAAAACGCATCCGGGAGAAACTCTCCACTCAGGAGACGTGGCGCAAGGCAATGGCTGGTGGCCTTCTCTTCTCGCGGGAGACGCTCGACAAAATCCCTGACAATGAACTTGACCCTAGCATTTTGACTGCAATTGGTGATTCAAGTGTCGCCCATGACATTGTAATGATCTGGACATGGCGCCGAGGCAAATCCGTGAAAGTCGTGGCCAACAAATCGTGGCTGGGGGCGCTGCAGCCAGCCAGTCAAGAGGCTGCGGAATTTCTGGCAGATATCATTTACACCAAGAAGTACGACGAGAAGGTGAAGAGCGTGTTGCACACCAACTTTGACGTGAATGCCCTTCTCGAGCGCGAGGTGCTGAAGCCCATCTGGGACAAGCTAACCAAGAAAGCCGACAAAACGGCTGCGGCAACGCAGGCGGAGTCAGCGGACGAAGGTGCGTTGGATGACGCCGCCCTTGTGAAAGCCGCCATCCGCCTTTCAGAGCACAATGAAGCCAAGGCAACTGAGGCTGTCCATGCAGTTGAAGCTCTGAAGACTGAAGACAAAGAGTTTCTGCTAGAAACTGAGACAACCGCCAAGGACCTTGTCAATTCCCTTTTGCAGGTCGCGGTGGCTGACGAAGAGATTGACAAACTCATCCTTGCTTTGTCGAAGGTGGAATTCCTAAACACGCGAAGCCAGGAGGGTTCCCAACTTTTCATTTGGGACGTTGAGCAGGCAGGAGAGCATAAAACCGACGCTCGGAGGTCACCCCCTCCGTTTCAGAAAGAACACTTCGAGAATGTGGTCAAGGGCGTGCTTTTTGCACGAAACAGGCAATCCACTTTGACCTTTGACGACTCGGACGGGCCGCCTCCCCCAGACGCTTCGGATGTGTTGCCTAGCTTATTAGATAAACACAGGATGCGTGCGCCGTCCATGCGTTGCTCATCTTAGGTTCTTGTTCTTTGACGGAGGCCGGTCAGGCCTGCATTCTCATTGGCGTGACAAGGGCATCGGCGTGACTAAGATGTGGAATTTAATCCACAGTGAGGCCTCGACAACTGCGAACAGGAAGGCCAGGAATCTGTCAGGGACGGCGATTGAGCGTGGGGCCAGGGCCTCAGCGTTTTAATGTGATTTCCTCGGAGGCGCGGGGGCTGATAATGAGGTCAACGTGATTAACTTGGCAGAAAAGGTCTTGGTGACTACCACGGATGCGCAAAAGCTGCAAGCTATCACGGGAAGCCGGAAGAACCTACATTTTGAGGGGACCGTGTGTTCAGATGCTGCGCCTTGGATAAACCAAACAGTGCGCGGTTGTTTGGCGCGCTCAGCTTGCGCCCCTTGTTTGCGTGCGAGTTTCTGAGGTCTACGGGGTCCCCCGGCATGATGTGGCAGGGCTGACAAGGCTGGCACCTGTGTTCAAGCACGAGTTGCTTGGAAGCTTCCGCGTGGCTGGTGCACCGAACAACCAACAGCGAACAGATGGAAGTGCAAAGGACACCGTGGCAGGAGAACCGATCACTTGGAATCCAAGGCATTCGCACATGATCGAGGAATTGTTGCACCGGTATCGGCCACGGGCTGTCACACTCATGACAGCAGCAGAGCCTGCGACAGCCAGCGTGATTTTGAAAAAAAGAATTCCAGTGACAGCAATTTGCTCCTTGGCTGCATCGCAGTTTGATGTCCTTTTGCTCGAGTTTGGTTCTGGTGCCCAAGAAGAGCACGCCAGGCTTCTCACAAAAGCACGCCAAGTGGTTCAAGGCCCAGGTCTGCACACAGCTCCTCGCGGCGATGACTGACCCTGCCAAAGACAAGATTTTCAACGCAAAGCTGGGAAAACTTTTGCACCTTCCGCATGCGCAGAGCAGCAGCACCCCTGAGCCTTCCACGTCCACGGTGACAGGCAAGAAGCGAAAGTCGCGGGGAGGTGCCAACGCAAAGCCGAAGCCAAAGAAGGCTGCAAAGATGAAGGCGGCTCCGAAGAAGAAGTCGGAGAAGGATCTGATTGCAGAAGACGAAGAAGACGAAGAAATTGAAGATGAAGAGGACGTCGAGGAGGAGAATCTGAGTGAAGACTCTGTGGGTAGTGATGACTAAACAAACTGTGGTGCCATTCGAGCAAAACAACTAACTAACTAAAGCCAAAAACACCTGCGAGCCGCTGCCAAACACAACGTGTGAAAGACAACACCGCCCAAGCACAGCACACGGACCGTCAACTCTCATTCTTTTGTTTAGCCAGCGCATGACAATAATGATGATAGCGGGACATGTCTGTTGGCAGCGAAGCAATCACAGACCCAGGGCAGATTGCAGTTCGGAGCGCTGGGAGGAAAATGGGATAAACACGCTGCTGCAATTGTGAGTGTCCTGTCTTTTGAACTGACAGTGCACGGAGAACCATTTGCAGTCCACGACCTGCGCTCTTGAGAGCCCAATCATGAGCCCCTCAAGCCAGTAAGTAGCATTGCCATTCATGAGCGGCGGCATCGAAGAAGGCAACTTTTTTCCCGAGCCTGAGGAAGAACGACAATTGCGATGAGCCTGACTCTGGCAACCAGGAGGCTGAGCCTTCCATCGAGCAGCTCTTCGGCGAGGCGGGGGGATGGGATGATTCTGATGAGCCGGAGGACGAGAACGAAGATATGAATGAAGAAGAAGAAGCAGAAGAAGAAGAAGACAAAGACGCAGGAGAAGATCCTCCATGTCCAGAAGCGAAGGCCAAAGCCAAGGCCAAAGCCAAGGCCAAGGCCAAAGCCAAGGCCAAAGCCAAGGCCAAGAAAGAGCCCAAAGCCAAGGCCAAGGTCAAAGCCAAGGCCAAAGCCAAAGGCAAGGCCAAAGCCAAGGGCGCGTCAAAGAAAACCACAAATTATGAAAATACCCGAAAAGCTTTCTTTGACTACGCTGCCGAGAACGGCCTGGATAGTAATGCTGCCCGGAACGCCTGGCTTGAGAGCACAGAGAGGAAGAATGCGATAGCTTCAATGCCAAGTCCTGAGAGAAGGCAACGCAAATTTGTGAAACCTCCTCCCGCTGATGATGTAAACTAGACCTTGTGGCAATGTCTGCTGCGGGCGCGCAGCAGACCATGGCACCGCGTGATGGGCAAAGAAACAAAAGAGCAAGCATTGCGCGTTGGACCTTGCAAGTTGCGACTGTCCTTGAAAGTTGCGATGTTGTTGATTGATGTTATTGCCCTGCAGCTGTTTTCGCTTCACATCTAGGCAACTGCGCGTCAGTCCCACTTCCCACAGACATTACTGTGCTACCACAGTAATTATGTCGTCATGGTTGGACGGCATGGGCAGTCAGGAGGCACGGTTTCAGCCAGGCGACCACGCTTGCTTGGTGACGTGGAAGTCCAGCTTCTTCCCGCTCTATCAGCTTCATTCGGAGATACTGGAAAGTTGGAGCAAGCCATCGTGTTTCGCAAAGGGAGCCCCATCTGCATGGAGGAGTTCAGGGATCTGCGAGTGTTCATTCATGTGAACAGCGACGATTATCTGGAAAGACATTACACAGAGGAAACTGCAGACTGGTGCAATCACGAAACTCGCACTTCCTCAGCGCAGCAGTGGATCGAGCATCGGCCTTGGGTTCAGCTGGTGCCAGGGCCCACGAAGAACCTGATATGTGCCATCAACGAGTACAAGAGGAAGCATTATCAGTTGCGGTGTGTGGTGTATGACATTCAACGTGCCCCTTAGGGTGGAGATTATGGGCCGATTGGCCATGCTTCCTGGGAGAAGCGCTTCATGATTTGGGGCTGGCAGGACGAGTTCGATCGCGTGCCTGACCTGGTTCAGTGGTCCCAGGACTATTCCTCGATACTTTGCCTGCCAATCAGTGACCCCGTGCCAAACCCACGGGTGATGCTGAAGGCCCTTCACAGCCGAGACGTTGACATGATTCGCAGGTTCATGCCACTTTCTCTCTTTCCTGGCAACGCCATCTGGCATCCTGATGACATCGAGCAGATCACTGCAGCACAGCAATCTGATGCAGAAGGAAAGGACGCTGACACGCAGGTTGAGGATCCGGAGTTTCTATTGGTCGACACCGCCGACCAGGCCCCTGGCACCGAGTGCGATCAAATTGGCCGTGTCCAAGTTGGACCCATCATCAACAATTCGCCATGGCACCAAGATCAGCGCGCAAAGCAGCGTGCTGCCGCCAGCTGCGGAAACGCAGCTGCTGGAACTTCAAAACCAGTCACTGTGTTCTCCTCTGAGTAGAGACTGAGACAGGCCCGCCGCCAGCCACAACGCACAGTGTTTTGAGGCTGAAGTTGTGTGGCCTTGGATTGAAAAAAATGCATCGAGCCACGGAGTGTGGTGTTCGCATGTGCATGAGCACTGCTAGGCTTTGTTGTGGTGTGAGTGCACGGGCATTGCTGCTGCTTGTCGTCCTGCCCTTGACTTGCATCGCCGCAGTCATTAAGGCCCGAGTTTTGCCGAAGGTTTCCAAACATGTCGTCTGAACACGAGAGCGCGGTGATTTTCGGCAGTCGGGCTGACCTTCGCGCAGAGCGGAAACGCAAGCGTGATGAGTCGGGGGACTGGGACAAGCTTAGCCACCCAGACTTGCGGAGCATTCTGCAGCAGAAGGAGCGGCTTGGAAACATTTTGATGAAGTATTACCCCACGCTCCTCCATTTACCTGCGGATGCCATGCCTGAGACACCGCCTGTTGGCAACCATTCCTACACGGTCAAGCCTGCAGGATGCTGCTAGATTATGGTTAAACTGGACAACTCAAGCTTTGTGGTGAAAGGCCTTGGACAATCACAGAAGTTTGGCTTCGGGATGAAGTTCTACGTGGGGAGTGCCGACGATTTGCCACTGAGTGAGCGAGTTATGCCAGGGCTTGTCGCAGTGGCTTGGGCAGAGGCCCAGGTCCTGCCAAGGAAGTGGCAGCAGAAGAAAGATTCCGAGCAACCTGATGTCTCGCCCAGCTGCGATGCAACAACTGAGCCATCCCCCAAGGATGCCTCTTCCGGAAGCGAAACAACACTGGCTTGGGAGCAGTTCAGCCCTGATCGACTTTGACTCCAGTACAGATTGGATCAGGTGTTCAAACAACTGCGCCCCCGCAGTTGGATGCCTTGCTGTTTTCCCAAACGGTGGTTTTTGCAAGCTGCAATTGCTGCTTGCTTCTTAGTAGCAACATGGTCGGGGAGACATGCAATTGACATGTCGCGGGGAAAGTTGAGAGTCTGAAAAAGGAGCCCGCGTGAGCCACTGCGTGTTCATGTGTTTCTCAGACCTTCCACATCAGAGGGTCACTCTGCGCAAAAGATGGGGGCAGGCGGGATTTGAATCCGCGACCTCCCTACCAACTGCGGGTCCGCAGGTTGGTTCGGGCGCGCTGCCATTGCGCCACTGTCCCTTGCTCCCTCTGTGGCAACTTCGGGGCCTGAACCCGGCCCAAATATTGAACAAGTCTTCGGAGCCAACACGGAGAGTTTTTCCAGCTTGAAAACAATTTAGAGCCTGAACCCGGGGCCCAAATGGAACAGCTTTTCGGGGCCCGAATCCGGGACCCGAATGGAACAGCTTTTCGGGGCCCGAATCGGGGCCCGAATGGAACAGCTTTTCGGGGCCCGAATCGGGGCCCGAATCAAACCACTTTTCGGGGCCCGAATCCGGGACCCGAAAGGAACAGCTTTTCGTGGCCCGGGGCTCTTGGCTGTGGATGTTTCTCTGGGGGCTCTTTGGAGGCCTCCGTTTCAATCTGCACATTTGTGTCCACCAGCCATCTTTTCGGGGCTCGAATGGTATACGACTTTTCGGGGCCCGAATCCGGGACCCGAATGGAACAGCTTTTCGGGGCCGAATCGGGGCCCGAATCGAACAACTTTTCGGGGCCCGGGGCTCTTGGCTGTGGATGTTTCTCCAGGGACTCTTTGGATGCCACCGTTTCAATCTGCACATTTGTGTCCACCAGCCATCTTTTCGGAGCCCGAATGGTATACGACTTTTCGGGGCCCGAATCCGGGACCCGAATGGAACAGCTTTTCGGGGCCCGAATCGGGGCCCGAATCGAACGACTTTTCGGGGCCCGGGGCTCTTGGCTGTGGATGTTTTTTCAGGGGCTCTTTGGAGGCCACCGTTTCAATCTGCACATTTGTGTCCACCAGCCATCTTTTCGGGGCTCGAATGGTATACGACTTTTCGGGGCCCGAATCCGGGACCCGAATGGAACAGCTTTTCGGGGCCCGAATCGGGGCCCGAATCGAACAACTTTTCGGGGCCCGGGGCTCTTGGCTGTGGATGTTCCTCCAGGGGCTCTGTGGAGGCCACCGTTTCAATCTGCACATTTGTGTTCACCAGCCATCTTTTCGGGGCCCGAATGGAATGACTTTTTGGGGCCCGAGCCCAGTGCCCGAATGGTAGTTTTTTTCTTGTGGTGCTTGAATACTTTGCGCAAGTTGGACTTTTTTGTTTTTTGGGGATCTAAAGCTTGACTTGCCGGTAGTTGAACCTTTCGACCATTGACAAACTCTTATGGGCCAGCATTGAAAAGATCTGGGCAGGGGGTGGACTCTCGCTACTTTCTTTGTCAAGCTCCAGCCGCCTGACTTCACGTCGCCGTTGCCAAAGAAGGCGTGCCATGGTTGTGATAATAAAGAGCGAGCTGGGGGAGATGAAGAACACCAAGAAGCTGCAGGCCGACCCCGTGAATGTCAAAACTGCAACTAAGAGACGGCAGCTTGGAATAACAGTTCAGTCAATAATTGTAGTATGTGTTTTATTATCTCTTCAACTGTGTTCTTGAGCCTGCCCAAAACATCTTTGCAAACTGCACTGTGCCAGGTACGAGAACAGCCGGCGCTGCAACATCCGTGTGCGACTCACCAAGGAAGAACTATTGAATCTCCAAAACCATGATGAGTTGCTTGCTGAAGTAGATCGGCTGCGGCTGGACAATGACTCCATGAAGAAAGAATTAGATTTCTGGACCAACAGCACTACCATGGGTGCACGGGACTGGTGTGACCGTCTCCGCCAGGCTGAGCAGAAATTCCGTGAAGCAGCTGAAAAGAACGCGCGGCTTGAAGAGGCCCTGCGTGATTTAAACAGCAAGTTGGACCAGCTTGCGCTTATGACAATCTGCGCTCGCGCAGTTTGTTTTGAGGCGAAAGCAGCCAGCGCCAGTGCCTGAGGCAAACCTGGCAGCTGCCATATGACGGGGTCTCACTGGCGCTGTCCAGCTGTATCTCTTTTCCATTGGCGTGGGGCAATGCCGGAAAAAAAAGAGAGCAGCTGCGCGTGCACAGCCTTTTGCTTCTTGCTTATCGGCTGCTAAGGTGGCCAACGATTGTAACCAGTAGGCTGCCAAGTTGCATGTTTCTGCCCAAGCGGATCCCGCCCCTTCCCTCTTGACTTTCTTCTTTGGGGTCCTTTTGGCCATGCAGCAACGCAAGTCAAGTTCAAGCCACCTCGGAGTAAGAGCGCATCCCAAAATTCTTCCCCCCCCCCCCTCCCTCCCCAAGATTTTCGGCAAAAAAAACACTTCCGAAAACGGATTGTTTTGACAAAGAACGCGCACGCGAAAAAACAAGGTTTTCGGTCCAAAAAAAGCACACAAAAAAAAGCATAAAAAGCATGTCCTTAATGACCGGCCAGACGAAGTGCTGGGCTTGTCGCAGGAATGCTCAGGAGATATCCATGTACACCTGCACGGACTGTGAGAAGATCATCTGCAACGAGCATACGTTTCTTGGACATGATTGTCTCGAGCGATGTTCGCGATGTCACGCGAGCCATGATCGCGCTCGCCGTGGAGCGCCGCCTCCTTCTCCTGGAGGAGGAGGCGGTCCTGAGAAACCATCGGGTCATGATGGGAGTGGAGGTGGTGGTCACGGATCAATTCCGCGCCCACCGGGCCTGGGCCTCCTGGTCGAGGACAGGGACCCACTAGACCTCCTGGTGGTCAGCAGGCGGTGGCGGGGTTGCAGACTCTTACAGAGCTGGGAGCAACCAATGTGGTTCTAGTTTCTATGGTCCTGCTTACGGAGGTGGTGTCAGTCACCAAGGCGTTGGTGCTGGCGGTAGATAGCTTAGTGTTGCTGCTGGTTATCCATCGAGCATCGGTAGTGCCAGTACTCTTGGACCAGGTCTTAGCCTTGGCTACAGTGCTCATGGCGCCGGTAGGCAGGGAGATGGCGGTCTTCTTCCTGAAGCCTTGAGGGGAGACGATGGGCGGGATAAATGCACCAAGTGTGGTAGGATTCCTGAGATTGTTTTCCCTCTTATTCCATGCATCGGTTGTGGAATGAAGGCATGTGAAGTATGCTGTCCGTTGCCTGCCAGGCTGTGTGAAAGCTGTAGGATTACTTCTTGTACCCCGATAGGGGCGCTGATCTCGACTGTCGTTGATAGCAAGGATCGGTACCATCACAAGTGCAACACAATCACGTTGCCTCCTGAACCGACAGCTGATAAGCTTCGGGAATGGATCTCCGAGGTGAAAGAGAGAGTCAGGAATGCTTTCAGTTTTGACTCTGACGTTAGCGTGGATTTCAGAGAGAGGCAGTCAGAGGGACAAGCGTACCCCGTCTCCCAAATCGCCAAGAAAAAGTCGCCTGCCGGGCCTGCTGATAGGTCCTGTTGGGAGTACGCAAAGATGGGGAAATGTCAGCATGGTCGAGACTGCAGGTTCAAGCACGACAAGAGCCCGAGGAACCCTGCTGCGCCCTCCGAGGACTGGTGATAGGCCCGCTAGGGACAAGCCTATGTACTTCGGGTACTGCTACTGGATGTATGGCAAGTGCACTGCTCAGCAATGCAAATACTTGCATCAGAAGCCGCCCCCGGGCACGAAGCCTATCACGCCTCGTACCACTGCCGGTCCTGTCGTTGAGGATGAAGAGGAGGAGGCCCCTAGATCACCAACGCCCAGTCCTCCCGATAGGGAGGCGAGGCGTCTTGACAGCCCCGCTCAAGGATTGACGATTTTTAGGTGGGGCGGGCCGTAACCCTGAGGCCAACCGTGTTGTTGTGGCGTGTCCCGTTACGTGGGCTGTTGCCCCAGCTACCGGTGGGTCTGCGCCGGGTTGTCTCCCACCTTGCGTTAGCAGTTGGGAGAAAAGTGAGCGTAACGCGTTGTTCTTCTCCGGTACTACAGGTGGAGGTCCCAAGTGGGACCAAGTCATTTGGAGAAGGACCGTTGATGCAAATGGGACCGTGATTGAGGATATCGGGGTGAACTCCGGTGATCGCCGAGCGACCCTATTCAGGAGGCTCCCAAGACGGACAGACATCAAGACAGTGTTTTGGTACTGTGATGATGCGGAGATTGCGTCCTGGAGGGGCAAGTACTTTCAGCAGGGTCCCGATAGGGAACCTCTGAGGGTCAAGATCCCTGATCTCCCTGACGTGTTTGTTGTTTCAATTGACAACACGGGCAGGGTTGTTAGTCGCTGCAGAGAGGCTGGATACAGCCATCCTAATGCGATCAAGTTCCCATCTCGCAAGAGAATTGCTAGGGAGGTTCAGAGTGCTCTGATAAGAGCTGCGGCTGTTCACAGCGGGGTGAGATGGCTGGTAGATACTGGTTGCCCGATGGACCTGGTTGGTCTTGGTGATCTGAAAGGACCCGATAGGGCCCTGATTGCCATGGGCGGACAGCGTTGCACACTGCTAACGGGGCGACTCGCACTGCTGGTCGTGTTGATGCTGATGTTGGCAACCTGGACGAGGTGATTGAGGCACACGTCCTTGAATCTACT